TCATCACGTTTACATATACACTTCTGAAGGAAGCTTCTAGTGTGACATGTGACCTAGCTGCTTTGCCTCGTTAGTATTCGAGGCTAATTTGCATTCGGATGGTTTTGATGAAGAGAAATGCTCAAAGAATCCTACTCTTCGAGGTTCACTTCCTCACATACTGCACGGCGGGAAAAAAAGATGGGAAGCATTAAACTATTCAACAGTAGCAAGTTTGAGGTTTTCTAGAAGGATCAAAAACTGAGCCCGTCAGAGACAGAACGCTCATGTCCTGATCCCAACCTTACCAGGAGGTTTATCACTCGTTTTTGGGTCGCCGTTTAAGCTTTACTCGAATTGCGGACGCTTTCAAATTGAGAAACGCTGAGAAAATTTTGTTGGAACTAGTTCCGCAGGTTCTGAAAGCATCAGAATTCTCAGCTTTCGGGGGCATACTGAAATAGGCACCTCATAAGAGCTGGTACTCAGAATTGGTTGCGTTAGTGACGGAATTTATATCTGGTAGTCTTTTGCAGCTTCGATTCTCCTTCCGGTTGCCTTGTGTGCAGTATCGACAACATGCCAGCACAGATGCCTTTGGAAGCCACCTCACAGTTTGGTGATTTACTCTATCCGTACATCTTCGACATGGTGAGTATCATTATCGTGCTGGTGATAAGATTCCTTATTCTCCTAAGAAAACCATAGCCTATGAACCGCTCAACTTCACTTATGATTCCGCGCTGTGCGGTTACCTCAGCAGTGACTTTCCACTTGTTGGGTATGTGTGGAATAACTTGCTGTTCAAAATTGCAGCTTTGGTGCCTAACTCTGCCTAGTTTGTCGTGAAATTAGGGTACGACCTAAAGAAGCACCTGAAGAAATTGGGTCAAGTTTTGGATAGGTTGGGCACAGGGTAAGATTAAAAGAGGACATATGAGCTCACCGGAGCTTTACCCATAGATGCAGGACGTGCACCGAAGTGGGCGGTGCTACGGGCAAATCTTCCTTATTTAGTTTCTTAACAGCCGAAATGTCGGGAACAAATGAGCTACGGTGAGTAGTGGGTCAGCAAATCAAATGAGACCCATCTGCGGTGGGTGGGACGTCCCACAATGGGCGGCACTTTTTGCATTAATTCATAAGTCGATTCAATTAATGAAAAAGAATAAAAAGAATGAGTCGAATATAGACTGGGTATCCAAATACCTAGCGAAACTCGTCTACAATGGACAGGGCAAGCATTTATATGGAAGGAACTCTTTTGAAAATATATATTTTGGTAAAAAACCGACTAGAGCATATGAACAAAGTTAGATCAAAATCTCTAAGTGAAAGTCGTAATGCAGAGTTAGGCGGAGCCAAGTCCGAAATCCACACCTCTGCGTAGAAACGATCAAGAATCCGGAAAAAGTGATTGGAGGCTGGCAAAGAAAGAATGGTCGAGCCTCAAAGCTGCGGGCATGCACTGAGGCTTTCGAAGAAATGATAAAAAATTTACAACTGTACTGAAAATTGCCCTACAAATCCCAAAAATTGGTCAGAGGCTGTTGAAGGAAGGGGTGTGGCCGGACCATTATGTTGGGCGAGGTTAAGGTCAAAAATTCCCTTATTATCTCTACTGTGTTCGCCAGGCGCAATCAAGGTATTCCTTCGTTTGCTGGCTAAGTGTTCCTTCATACGAACGCATAACAGCCTGCCAATTTCTCCAGTACAGCGAACTTCACATGTCAAACACGAAGCTGGTAAACCCCCCGCTCTGATCATGCATTTATATCTGGTTATAGAGAGGATTTCTGGCAAACCAGTTATGAATGTTGTCCCTTGAAGTGTTGACCACGAAGATGTCATTAGCTAGGTTCGGCATAGATGTATGACTGCGCTGAATTGAAACTGAAAAGAATGAATCTGTTACAGTTGAGAAAACGAAGATACAACATATTTTTAGCCCGCATAGAAAGGGCACTGCTCTGTTGCGTGTTTTATGCTGCCATCTTAATTGTT